AGATGAATATTTTTGTGATTGTGTGCCTGTGTGTGTATGTCTATACACGCATGTTTGTTCGAGATGAAAATGAGAGAGTGCGCGCGTGAGCGTTTAAAACATACCAGTCTGCACAATGTATTTTTTTTTAAATTGCTTACTTAGACGTATGATCAAAAGAGGCCATTTCGTCATTCAGATTGATTTTTCTTTTCTTTTTTTAATGAACCGAATGTGTGAATGTGAATGCTTGTGTGCAAGAGGAACTGTGTGTATTACTCCTCTTGTAAATGTGCAGTATGTGAGCGAACAAATGAAAGAAAGAAAGACAGAGAGAGGGGGGCATCGGCACAACACATCCTCTTTCACCAGCCCTTCAATTCCCCAACAAAGAAAGACCTCTAGCTTCAAACACAAAAGCTTTAGCCCATTTTACGCCAACCAGCACTCTTAGTTTTCATGGTAGGGAGTGCAAGAGATGTCTTTTCCTGCCTCATCTTTGCCTCTGTGAGGTTTAAGAACATGTTATTAGCAGCATTGTTTTGTTTGTGTGTTGTTGAAGAGCTCAATCTTGTATACCTTTAGGAAATGGTTACTTGTGGTACGTACGTTGCTTCGTGTGTGTGGTGTTTTTCTGTCCCCACATGTGTGCCTAAGAACTAAAGGGCGAATGATTAGACTTCATTGCTGCCATTGAGACATTATTTTTTAGCAAAGGGGCGTGGTTTCCTTTGGAAGGCTCCGCCCCCACATGCCTCCCATGCTTATGAACCAAGAGCCTATCTCTGTACAGTTTTATTGTAGCCTGGGGATGCTTGGATGAAAAATGTTTGATATTTGGAGGATGTGACCTAACATTGCCTTTCTGTCCACTCTTGCTCGCGAGTGACTGAGGTTTTGACTATTTCTGGCTGAAAAAAAAAAAAAAAAGATCGCAACAAACTGTGCAAGTGCACTCAGCAGTGCACAAAATGTTTGTATATTTTGTTACTTGTTCATTGTTGTTGTCGACGACAATGATGGTGATTTATTTTTTCTTTTAATGTTATATATGATTATATATGAATCTATGAATATAAACAAAGTATTGGACTACAAAAGGAAGAGCACTTGGGGCTGCTACTATTTTTGTTCGTTTGTTTGAAAACTTTTTTTAGTTGCCACCATGTGAAGTGCATTTGTGTACTTTTTTCTTTCATTCTTAAAAAAAAAAAAAGTTGAATGTATTCCAAAAATGTAACGGTGTAGATGGAGTTGCTCAACACGGGATATTAAAGCGTAATCAGCAGGACATCATCAGGAGCGAAATCGAAAAGCTTACCACAAAAACACACTGCCTCTACAATCCTGTTCATACAGACTTTGACTATGAAAATGAGAACTTAAAAGATATTCTATTCCATACTGGAGTTTTGGTTGTTTACAAACCACACAGACGTTTGTGGGTGCTTTTCCCCCCTTTATTTTTGTGGTGATTAAATATGCGATTCTGCAGTTAAGAATCATTTTGTCGGGGGGAATTTAATGGCATGATGTCAGCCCCTTCCTTTGCATGTGGATATGAGCGCAGCCTATATAACTTGCTGACTGAAACAAACTTGGATTGCTGGAACACAAGTAATGGAATTACATCAAAGATTTCTACATGTACCTTTATCTCACGGACAGGGTGTGTTTTTAAGAATCATAAAGGCGACCATATTTGTTTAGTGAACTTCTGTTTGTTTGTTTACCTTTGACTAATCTTTCTTTGTAATGGAATCAAATTGATCATCAAGACAGAAGAAATGCTTTATGTACCTGGAAAGAAGGCAAAAATCAAGACAGCACAGATGACCTCTTGGTACTGCAAGATGCATATTGAATGCTTTAACATTTGTCCCTTTTACCCAATCATTTTTTGGCTTGTGGATTATTTTGGATGGACATATCTGTGATGGATGTTGATGAGAAGAACAACAAAAGAACATGTGTATGACCTCAGATCTGCCAGATAATTCCTTGGACAGTGTGATCGTACACATACTTCTCTCTGAGAGGGGATGGGGTGTCATGGCCATCATCTTCATAAAGATAACAAAGGGACTAGCACTGCCTTGATACCCTCACTGCACTTTTCCTTTGCTTAAAACTGTGAGGAACTTTCACTTGGGCTCGGAGAGCGCAGACAGAACGCAAGATGCCCGCTTTCTGTCAGCAGATGGACGCTTCGAGAGATTTTGACGCCCTTGCATGAGACTCGTTTTCCTTAAGGTGGTTGTTTCTCAGTCTGCTTGAGAACGCCACCACGCAAGCTTTAACCGTAAATGGATAAGGGACGTTTCAGACACATTAGGACTTGTGGAAAAATCCTTGGAATTTTCCCATGGAGGATTTTCACTGAACAATGTTGATATTTAAGACTATACATACAGTCTCCAAACTTGGTGACAATGTGGAGATTCAGAACAGATTCACTCAACAGTGTTCTCCGTTATGTAAAAAGGATTCAACTGCTCGGTCCAGGGTGCAAGCCAACGCAAAATGTTTTTTTTTTTTTTTTTTGCCATCAGCTTTATCGCCACCTGCTGACTGCATGGCTGAAGTTCACCTTTGGCTTGAAGTGGTTACTGTGCTGCAAGACCGTCTGTTTGGTAATGACATTCATTTGTTTGGTTATATATGTTCATTCATTTATTGTTTCATCCATTTATTGTTTTTCCTTCCCCTATTCCTTTCAAAAGTAATAACTGTTGAGCCACTTTAAGGTAAGGTTTGTTCTACTAACAAGAAAAGACTTGGCAACTCCCAGAACATCCTAGCCAAAAACTGTATTTTTTTTAGTTTTTACACTTAAAAAAACACTTAGATCTACTCCTGATTTGTTTGTTTTTTTCTTAAATGATGTGATGTTCCTCAGATTGTTTTTTAAAAAATTGTATTCTTCCTCGTTTTCTCTGTTTTGATTAGATCTTTGCTGTTCCAGATCTTCTGATGAAGACGGAGGCTCTCCAGTGCTTCGTGTTGCATCTCCACCTCCCCTTAATTCCTGTCCTCATCCTTCAGAGAAAGATCCCAAGGTCAGGAATTCCAAACAGCACGTGAAATGATGACTGCATGACAAGAACTAAAAGCCCTGGAAGAAGTGGAGGCCTGTAGTTTCATTTGCACCATATTCGGACTACTCAGAGGAACGTGTTTCCTTGCTAGGAGGAGGGAGTGAACTGTGAATGCTGGAACAGCGAACTATGAGATCTAGAACCTGCACAGAATAGTTCTGCTCGAGTGCAGCCAGGGTCAAACACCGCACACACATTAATAACTGAAATACACCTGCATACACACGTCCAAAAAATGAATTGTTGATCACACACTCGCTGACATGGCTTAACACAGTTCTACTACACTTCATCTCTGGCTGCCATGTAAATAATGTATATAACCCTTTTCCCTTTCTCTGTTGGGTTTCAGTTTTGTTAGATTTTTTTTTTCTTTTTTCTTTTCTTCTCTTTTATGACATGCCTTAACAGTTCAGTTTTGCCTGTTAAGGCACACTTAAGATGAGTAAAACAAACAAAAAAAAGTGTTAACAGTCAGCGAGACTAGCTCTGTGACATAATAGCGTGTGATTTTATTTAAGAAACCCTTGAAACATTATGAACCTGCGAAATGATTTATATAACATTTCAAATGATCCCCACAAAAGACGTGTAATTAATTCTTGGTTGTAACTGGGCAAGTATGATGATACACCCTAATGTTAAAACCGTTTTTGCTTTGCATTTTCAATACTCAAAGGCAGCAAAAAAGTTTCCAGGTCAGAATTGTGTGTCAAATGTCTTCATTTTTGAGCTCAAAATAGACGTGGCTGTGTAGAAGTACTTTTACTAACACATGCTTGAGTGTCAGCTTCAGCTGTTACTGAGCTAAAGATCAGAAAGGATGGGATTTGTTGGTGGAGGTGCTGCACATAGGTCACTCTCGGAGTACGGTATTGCCCTTTTAAGATGATTAATTGTGTAATGTTACAGGTCAGATTAAACTAGAGATGCCTAATGTCTTTACTGGTATGCAAAAACCCATGTTTTAAAATGTTAATGAAGATAAAAATACATGTTTCTCATATTGATTCAGTGTGTGAAGCAACAATACTGTATTGACTGTCACAGAGCTGTGTGTTCATGTTAAAGTGATCAACTGAATAACAGTGGCACTGGCTGATTCTTAATCATAAGAGCTTATACTAGTCATCCTTACTATCTATCACACGCAACCTGAGGTGGATGTCTTTTGAGATTTCCAGAGATACAAGGTCATAAACCATTTTGACAATAATGTTTGAATATTCATTATGTAAATAGTTTTGGGGGTTTCTGGTTTGTTTGAAGAAAAACAATAAATACTTCAGAATGAAGCACTTGTGTGGACGTTTCTCTCTATTTAGCAGTTGACATAAAAAAAAATAGGGGGCCAGTTGTCATTTTTCTACCTCTGTAACCTGCTTTACATAAAATGTAAGTTTATAAAACAACTTATGACATGTCTGCAACTCATGAGTGTATATAATATTTACAAAAATTCACTGGACAATTTACAAAACGTTTAAATAACTGAAATACTGATTAAAAATTAGAATTAAATATTGCGTTGGAAATATAGTAATAAATATATAAATACCCTTTTTTATAAAACACGGTGTATTAGCTTATGTGGTTCTTTTGAGGGGGGGGGGGGGGGGTTTTACATAAAAAAAAATAGGGGGCCAGTTGTCATTTTTCTACCTCTGTAACCTGCTTTACATAAAATGTAAGTTTATAAAACAACTTATGACATGTCTGCAACTCATGAGTGTATATAGTATTTACAAAAATTCACTGGACAATTTACAAAACGTTTAAATAACTGAAATACTGATTCAAAATTAGAATTAAATATTGCGTTGGAAATATAGTAAATATATAAATACCCTTTTTTATAAAACACGGTGTATTAGCTTATGTGGTTCTTTTGAGGGGGGGGGGGGGGAAAAGTTGGATTTCTGTCCAAAACGTCCCATCTGTGTAGAAGCGGAGTACGACGCAAATATCGCGAGAGTCAGGTGACCTGGCAACGCAACGCATAATATGCAGGCATGGCGGCGCCCTGTGCTTACAAACACGACGCGCTTATGGTTGAGCTGCTCGGAAACTCGTCTGAATTTAGTCAAACACATACACTGAGGAATTTTGTCTGATTTGTAAGATCCAGAGCACAAGACACGACTGATACGAATTAAAGAAACAACAGGTAGAGTGACTCTTTTTGGCTAGACGAGTCAAAATGCTATTACACTGGAAAAACTTTTTAAGAATGCAACCGCAAAAACCTGAAAACTTTCTATATATTACAATATGTATATTAGTTTTATTAGGACAGTAGCTCCATGTAATCTAGCAGTTGTGGTTTCTGGAGGTAAAAACGAATTATCCTGTATATATAGGCTATATATAAAATGATGCATTATATATGTCTGTGTGTAGAAAAAAACTCTTATTATAGTCAACAATACATATTTCTTTACAATATATATGTTATATATTGTTTATATTAAATGTGTTTTGTATGTAAAGTGTTTTGTAAAATTGTGCAAAAAACACATCACTATTCATTATCGTTTATAAATTATACATTATTTTGTTGATCAAAAGGTAAAGGATTCCTAAGGTAGGATTTTCTGCCTATTTTCTTTTGAAACTTTGATATGCATATAGCAGAAACTATGAATTTAGTAAGGAATTTATGGGTTTCATAAATGAGTTTCATATAATTATAAGAGATATCACTGTTTTTACTGAGTCTAATGTAAATAATATGGTTTACAACAAAATACAAAGTACTGTATATCTTATTGCACATTGTTGTGCGATAGTTAAACGCTCACTGCCACTGTATGTGAAATCCATGACTGAAATGATATAATTTGTGCATGTTCTACAGGCCACTAAACACAGAGATGTCCGGTGCAGCTCAGAGCAGTGATGGTGGTGCAGGGCAGGACGCAGAAGCTGATGGGGAACCTCCTCATGAGGCTTATCATCAGGGAGAGGTGGAAGGAGAAGAGGAAGCACCACCAGCAGCAAAACAGCCTCGACTGGAGCAGGAAGATGTAGGTCTTGATTTACAAATGATACAGATGGCTGTGGTGCCTTCAGCAGACACATGTGGGAGCCAAGGTGCAGCTGCGACTTTAGAGGAAGGTGAGGCCGTTGTCTTAACGTCTGATTTACAGCGTCCTGTTTGGCACGCTGTCAATATGCCCCTCTGATGTCTTAATATGCGATATAAACTCCATATGTGGTACTCCTACTGCCATATTTAAAGAATTACATGGATCTTGTCCTTTAGTTTTTCATATGCATCCAATTTTGTAGTTAGGCAGCACTCTGCAAGTGAACTGCTGGTTCCTTCCAAAAATTTGGATGTGATGTTATTTTTCTTGGATCTGAAATAAAATGTGATTGAACAGTTCAGGGTTCATTTTTTTTACATGGTTCGTCAAGTGAATGCCATTGAATATTGTTCACATGTCCAGTATAGCTGCCTTTAATCACAGATAGTCAGCAGGTAGCATTCAAGTAGTGAATAGTGCCTCAATTGCCTCCAGGGAACAAGCCATGGTCGACTGGTGCATACATGTTTAAATATATGTATATAATTGGATTTGGTTGTGTAGTTTTTTAACCCCCAGAGGAAATAATTTTATTCAGCTGGGTTTTTAGTAAAGATGGATCTTAAAGGGGTCATATGATGTGATTTCAAGTTTTCCTTTCTCTTTGGAGTGTTACAAGCTGATTGTGCATAGATAAGATCCCTGAAGTTGCAAAGACTAAAGTCTCAAAACCAA